GTAGCGCAAAGAAGGAAGAGAAGAAATGTTGGGGGGCAAGACAAAGACATCAGCAGCACACAAACTGTCAAGCGTTACAGCTTCATCATAATGCCAATATGACTCTGCATTCTTTAATTTCCGAACACGACAAAAGTGCCCATTATAAAAAGCACCAAACACATTACTTATGGTAAAATCAGGAGTCGTCTTTTCAAGTGATGGGAGTTCGGTTTTCTCAAAAGTAACAAGAGCTTGTAAGATAATCTTCGCATCTGATGTTATTGGTAATATACTCAATTGCATTGATGACTTCACATGAAGAGGAAAGGCATAAAATTCTGATGAACACAACGCTCGATCAACAATGTCCGAAGGCAAACGAGTAAATGCATTGAGATAGTCCAAATAAGAGCCATTTAAGGTTATGTTACCAGAGGAAAAATGACACTGCTGCTCTTCCTTGTTCATCTCTTCTTTCATCATTGATTTAGAGGTACGGCACTTCTTTTCTTCTTTTGAATATGATGTAGCCATCATGAATGTGGAGGTAGTGGGAAGCTGGGAATTCATAGTTAAGGATCTATCCAATAGTTCAGCAAGACCCTAAGAGGAAAAAAATATGAATGACACAATATCAACCACAACTATCAAATTAAAATATCAAAATCCTAAAAACTTACACAAATGGGCTTAAATAATTAAAAAATCATGTAACATGCAGCATTCACTATGTTAATGTATTTCAAACAAAATATCAGCACTTAGGTATGGAAAGCAAATAACAATCAAAACTAATAATGGTAAAACAAGTTCTTAGTGTTGTACTTAGTTAAAAAGTAAAGCCACACCATTCACAGCCTTTTATAAGAGCATGAGAAACACAGAAGAGGGTTGTCTGCCCAAAAATGGACTGCAAATAGCGAAATGGCAACTACACGTGACAAAGATATTGATGACATCAGTTAATTGACACAGTAAAAAGAAGTGCAAGTGACAAGCCTTTTTTATTTTACACGTCCTATTCTTCTTTGTTCTTATTGATTGACTAAATAATGGTGAAGTTAATTATGCACATAAGCAGAAGCTTCAAGGACTCGCTTTAGGATGTGTTAGAAGATGTTCTACACTTCGACCAAGCCAAAATAGTAGCCTTATGACAGAAATGACTATTCTTTTTAAACTGGCAAGGTGCGACGAGAAACATCGAAAATATTGAGTAGTGTTTATTTTTAAAACTTTCGCAATAAATTTAAATTGCGGAAATAAAACTATCAATTAATTAATAAGGACATGGCTTCCTTTATTGCCTATAATAACTAGGGCGCAATGCCCCAACAGCTACTATACCTCGTAGTGCTGTGCACCTTCACCTAATAACCAGTTCACCTACCGGTTTGATTGCTCTAGACAGAACACCAGTTACCTTTATATTATCATTGAAATTGACACACCCATCAACAATTTAATAATTAATTAATAATGTGGGCATAGCCACACGCACATGTCACTGTTCAAAATGGCCGAATCTATTACTACTCCAGCAGGTAGGACTTCTCAAGTATGGAAGAATTTCGGATTCAAACAAGGAGAAAAAGATGGAAAGAGAGTTACTTGTAAGCTGTGTGGTGTTCATGTTGCTCATGGTGGAGGAACTACTAACCTTAAACGCATTTACACACTAGACATCGTTCTACTCATGATGAACTTTTCAGAGTTTTCCCCTTGAATTCCACTGATGTTTCTCCAGGTACAAGTAAACAAGAAACAATAGATACCTATGTGACTCGGTGTCACTAAACTACCTCATTATTCTGATAGAGCGAGAAAACTTACCAATTGTATTTCAGAGATGATTACCAGAGATATCCAGCCTGTAAGTATTGTCGATGACATAGGATTTCTAAATCTACTAAGGGAAGCTAAGCCACGTTATGTAGTTCCTTGTAGATCTAAAATATCAAGGTGCATTGATGATTTGTATGTCTCTAATAAAAGAAGAGTTCAAGGTCTAATAGCAGATGTAGATTTCCTGTGTTATACAACAGATATGTGGACTTTACAGTGTGGGGAATCCTACCGTTCACTTACCTGTCACTTTATAGCACCTAACTATGAGATGCACTTCCAGAATCTACAGACAGGCCATTTTCCCAGAACCCATGAATCCTCTCACATAGCTGAAGCCCTTCTATCAGCTGCTAAGGAGTGGTGCATAAACATTCCCAAACAGATCGTCACATTTACAACTGATAGTGGGTTCAATATTGTAAAGGATCTCGATGACATGACTATACCACGTCTATCATGTGCTGGACATACTTTAAATTTAGCTGTATAAAAAGCTATTCAAGTTTAGCAAGTCACCACAGCTATGGGAGATGTCAGAAAATAGTAATTAACACACTTCCATCGTTCCCACAATGATCAGCAGGAACTTCAAAAGAAACAGGAGATGTTTGCAGATGTTCCAAAACATCGTTTAATTCAGGTGAGGTAGCTGAATTTTAAATTTGTGTCATCTAGTTTGTACTTTAAGGATGTTGTGACACGATGGAACTTAACTTATGACATGATTGAAAGAGTAATTGAGCAGCAGCATCCAATCAGTGCTACCTTATTGCAATGCTGTAACCTAATTCATTTAGAAATATCTACCAAGGAATGGAGAGTTTTGGAAGATATAATACAATTATTAAAGCCCTTCAAGGTAGCAACATGGTATTTATCTGGAGAGTGATATCCAACAATATCAGCCCTTGGCCCACTATTAAAGGAAATTCAAAAGAAAGTAAATCCAGATGCTAATGATAGGGTAGCTATGAAAGAATTCAAGAAAGCATGACAGGAAGACCTAGAAAATAGATATATCCATCCTCATGTTAGTGGTCTCTTGCATAAAGCATCATTTGTAGATCCAAGGTTCAAGACAATGAAGAATCTTTCACTTACTCAAAAGGAAGAGGTTATAGATCCAAAAGGAAGAGGTTATAGATACCAAAAGGAATAAGGTTATAGATACTATCTTAGAAGAGATAATTCAGTTGATAGAAGGCAATTCTTAAGAGTCAAGACAACACTTCATAGTAGTAGATGATGATGACGAAAGTAATACAGAGGAACCTAATTGCAAGAAAAAGCATGCTTCAGTGCAACTACTTGGAGATCAATACCTTGATACTGATACTGAGGTTCCTGAAGCTATGAATACCAGTACAGCACACAAAGACTTAGTACAGTCTGAGGTATGAGGCTGAACCTTCTATTGCTCTTGACCAGTGCCCACTGAAGTGGTGGAAGACTCAAATGCTTACTTACTCAAATTTGTCTCTAATAGCACGGAAAATATCACAGTGTTGTCACCACCTCTGTACCGTCTGAACAATTATTTAGTACCACTGGTAATATAGTGTCAATGAGAAGAGCTGCACTAAAACCGGAGAATGTCATTAATTTATTTTTTTTACACGGTAACTTACCACAAGTACAATTAGACTATAAACATTCTCAGAGTAATGAGTATGATTGATAAAATATTATTTACAAAATTAATTAAAAATTATTGAGGGTGTGAACAGTTATCAGTTAACTGCAGGTTATTGGTAACCAGTTAACTGGTGATAAAAGTTTTGTAGGTACACAGCACTAATACCTCACGCATGAGAAATTAAGAATGACCTTACTGAAGTACTCCTCTCGTAATGAAGTATGAGTGAAGATAAGTCCTTTGGTGAGCTCTCTTCTATTATCTCATCTCAAACTACATGTACATGTACCGTATTTCCTTAAATAAAAGCCCGGGCGTCTATTTCCTAAAATGATACTTGGACCTCCAAAAAATATATAAAAAATAAAAAAAACTTTGACCCAGAGCAGGATTCGAACCCGCGGCCTCAAGCTTTTGACTTTTGGAACTTCAGGCATTGCCCACTAGACTACTGTGTCACTCCTAGGCTGGTGTTGCGTATTTATAGTTTAATTCTATTGCTACCCCGGCGTTTATTCGAATGCGGCTTCTATTTAAGGAAATACGGTATATGTATCATAGAAGTTTTTGTAATCAAGAGCTCATGGAGCCTCTGCAATGCAGTCGCGGCACTGAGGGCTCTAGTATTTGCAATACTAGAGTATGTAGTGATTCATGCCTATGGTATGAAGATGACTGTCAATTTTCTGGAGCCCTTGATGCCACTGATTATGGACATTCACTCTGTCCCAAAAAGGCTTGAAATAGGTGTAACAATGAAATTCCATTGTATAAATACAACTTGGAGTGACACCTGCACAATGCTCTACATGGCTGGTTTAGGGTAGGGGTCAACAAGCTACCGAGGGGACCTTCCAACAGGAGGCAGGACAGTGAAATATCCCACAGTCCTGCATCACCACAAAGCACTGTTCAAGTCACCAACAAAGAAGCCTCGGAACTACAAGTCAATCAATAACAAGCCTAAACAGTTAACAAGATTGATTAATGAATTAAGACGCATTGATACCGATATGTATGGAATCATGTTGAACTTCAATTTAGAGGAAACTTTGAGTTGGCTAAAAGCCATACAGAAGACCTACCAAATGATGTGATGTGTACATACATCATTGACAGTAACACAAATGTAGAAAACATATATAGTTTTGGACCAATAGGATTGGAGCTACTACCTGTACAACAGACTGCAATGGTGAAACTGTTTACAATACTACTAGCTAGGAACAATTCAACAAAGTACTAGTGATGTTACTACAGCATTCCCTATTGTTAGTAAGACGCTGACAAAATTTGTCAAGTACGATAACAAAGCCATTAATGGAAACAATACTAGCATGCATAGCCCATTACATTGCGCTGTATTGGCTGATTAACCTTACAATATAAACACGCTTTTAATAGGAAATGTATGATAAGGAGTGAGCAGTACAACAGTATTGAGCACATTTTTATTAGTAAAGTCTGATGAATAACGGATAGAACATGCCTATTATTATGCTGGGCGCCACAGCAAGATTCAATGCGTAGAAATAATAGCACAAAAAAGTGAGGTTCTATATGTAATCCCTTAATGCAGCTAGACCACTGAGAAAGCATGTTTAACAAATGAATTTAAAGACAAATAAGTTACATAGCTTTCGACAGCAAAGCACGCCTTGGCAAAGGATTGCCTATAGAGGTATGAATGGTTGATGAACCGATCATTAATTCAATAATTGCAGTGGTGATGATTTAATAAAGGATGTTCTTTGTGACATGTGGCTGAGAAAGGTGAAGCTCGGATCAAAAAGTGGACCAAGGAGGTATTTATTTTCTACTGAGGAGCTAGATCTTGTTAATTTCCTAACTGGTTCATCGCAAATTTTATATTCTCCAACGACTAAGCAAGCTGTCCAATAGATCAAGATTTTGTTGATGAAAAAGGTCTCGAAGTAACAGTGTCTACTAGTTGGTGGTAGTCTTTTAAATCTCATCACAAAGAATTGACTCTTCATGATCCTAAATTAACGTCACATATGCTAATTTAGAGAACTATTTTTATTTGTTGGAATTGACATTTCAAGAATCGGACTTAACAGAGAAAGCTTGTTCAATCTTTAATAACGATGAATTTAGTTTTCCCTTAAATCCCAAACCACAGAGATTGTTAAACAACATCCTATGTGTCACTGGTTGTGAAAAGACCCAAATTACAGTTTTGGCATGCTGTAGTGCGGGAGGTAAGACAATTCCACCATTAGTTATTTTTGATTAAAGACCCTAAGACCTGACATGGTTATCAGTGAAGTACCTGGAACTACATGTATGTATGGCCTTTCAGCTAGTGGATGAATGGAATCAGCTATATTTGAAAACTGGTTTTTGACTCACTTTTTGGCATATGTTCCACCATCTCATCCACTTTTGCTACTTATGGATGGCCACTCGAGTCACTTCAGCCCAACATTTGTTAACAGGGCTGCCGAAGGAAAATAATTTCTTTTCGTTTACCTCCTCACTCCACGCATAGAATTCAAACCCTTGATAAGGTTTTTTGGGCCAATAAAAGGGCTTGGCGTGAGGAGCGTCATGCATAACTTTCCAGTAATCCTGGCCAAGTTATTACTTGTTACCAATTTTATTACTTATTTGGACGCACCTGGGCAAGGTCAATACAAATTATACTGAATTGGAAGTAGAAATGGGAGGGAGTGTGAAGTGACAGTAGATGATCCAGATGCATGTAGAGTGGAGAGATTAGTAGAGTCACAAAAAAGAAAGGTACTCAGTTCATTGGCAGAAATGAGTGGAAAAACTGCCGATACTAATTGCTAATTATACTATTACTAATTGCAATGTAGGCATGATATGAATATTAAAGATAGCACTGTTCAAACTTCATTGTTTCATGCTGTCCAATTAAATAGTGATGAAGCAAAAGAAATACTGTTAGAGAGAACAGCCAATTCACATATCAGACTTGACAACAAAGAAGAGAGAAGGTTAGATGCCATCGTTATCAATTGTAATTAATGTATAATTGGTGCGAGCCTGAGCGAGAAAAGAAACTGAGCGAACTAAGGCGAAGAGCGTCTGTATTTATGTACGGGCATTGGGTCATCTAACTATTAGAGCTGAAATGGATATCATGGTTATCCGGATATCTGCTTTCTATCATGGTATCCGAATAAAAAATTTTGATATAACGGATATTTAATTAAAATTAACCATTAATTAACTTTAATAACAATTAATAATTATTACTACTAATTAGCACTCCACATGTTAAGTGAAAATGGCTGCCATTGTACACAAAAGAAAGAGTCCCATGTGGGAGTTTTTTGAGGAGCCTGTCGTTTCTGACAAAGTTGACAGCAAAGGCAAAGCCATCAAGAAGGTTCCTTGTAAACTATGTGAGCAGGTTCTAGCTGATGGAGGTACAACTAACCTTCTCAACCACCTGCAAGCAAAACATCCCGAGGAGTTCAAGCGCTGTTCTTTTGAGGGTCGGCAGTCAACTTCTAAGCAGTCTTCGATAAGTAATATTTTCAAGAAATGCTCAGCACAGCATGCTGCTGCAATAACAGACAGAGTGGCTGATTTTGTGGCTATGGATCTTCGTCCACTAAGCATTGTCGACGGCAAAGGTTTTAAACGGCTCTTCAGTTACATTGAACCTGACTATACTTTACCCTCTCGTACTCATCTCACTAGTATCTGCCAAAGAAAGTTTAAGACAGTAAAAGAGGAGCTATTGACAACTTTAGAGTCCATACCCTATGTTTCTGTCACCAGTGATATTTGGACTAGCCGTGTTACACAGGCCTACATCACTCTCACTGTCCATTTTATTACAAACACCTGGAAAATGGAAAGCAAAGTCCTCCAAACTCAGGAGATGCCTGAGCGTCATACTGGTGAGCACATCTCGTTACGGCTATCTAGTGCTAGTCAACAATGGAAGATAAAAGATAAAATAGTTGCCCTTGTCCGAGACAATGCTGCTAATATGGTTTTGGCATCTCAGCTTCTGGATGATTGGGATGATATGCCATGCTTCGCTCATACCCTACAGTTAGCTGTGAAAGCAGGGCTGGACTTACCTCTAATCACCAGGGTATCTGCAGTTTGTAGAAAGATAGTAGGGCACTTCAAGCATAGTGTAAGGGCAATGGAGGCCTTAAGGGAAAAGCAGAAGAGCATGAATATAAGCCAACACTCACTCATTCAGGATGTCAGTACTAGATGGAATTCTACCTACTTCATGTATGAACGACTAATAGAGCAGAGATGGGCAATATATGCTGTGATTCATGATGACAATATTACTCCTTCTGACCAAAGACACCTGGATTTGAAGCCAGAGCAATGGGAACTACTATCACAACTATCTGTTGTACTCAAACCACTACAGGTTGCCACAACAGCTCTAAGTAAAGACCAAAATGTATCATCGTCTCTTATTTACCCAGTGGTAAATGGTCTTGTAAAGTGTCACCTTAAAATTGGAACAGATGATCATCAGATGATTGTAAGATTTAAAGAAACAGTTAAAGAAGAGCTGTTAAGTCGTTTTGCATTTATTCCAGACAGTGTACCGGCCATTTCTGTAGCTTTAGATCCACGATACCACCACCTGGGCTTCTTTTCTAGTGAAGAACAGTCACAAGTCCGTGATATAATTTCAATTAAAGCAGATGCACTGCATTTAGCTAACTCAGAGAATGACTCAACAGAACCAAGAGTTAAGAAGCGAAAGGAAGACTCAGCTATGTCATTTTTACTAGGAACAGAATGTGACAATAATAGTAATCAGGCTTGGAGAGATGAGTTGAAACTGTTCCAGATAGAACCTCAAATTCACCATGACTCTGATCCTCTGGAATGGTGGAAAGCTAATGAGTCACGTTTCCCTACAATTGCTAGAATTGCCAGACGTTACCTTTGTGTACCAGCCACATCAGTACCATCCGAGAGAGTTTTTTCAGCAGCTGGACTTGTAATCAACAATAAACGAAGCAGTCTAACACCCGAAAATGCAGACATGCTTATATTCTTGAGTAAAAATATGTGATCACTCTATAATTTTGTTGTTGATAAAAGTTATTGGTTAATTAAAAATCATCAATTAATATTAATATATGACAATTAACTATTCATTAATTAACTATGAATAATTAACTATCCGCCAGATATCCGTATCAATTTTTAAAAGGATATCCGGATAATAAAAAGTACTATCTGTTTCAGCTCTATACATAATGTACATGTACATATACCTATGTACATGTACATGTACACTGTGGGTTGTAGCTGTATGTGTATTATTACCATGCATTGTAGTAGGCTCCCTCCAGTGAGGGTCTGGTAGTCTTGAGGTAGTAATGAAGCTGGTGGATTCTGAGGACGAATAAAACGAGTTACAAACACATTCTTGCCATTACAATCCAGCACAGTGGCCTGGAGAAAGAAGACAGGGTTTTTAAATTTATATTTAAAATTTACC